GCTCAAGGGGAATCTGAATGTCCAAAGGAGCATTGGCACAAGCGCTGCAATCCCGACCAGGGTGAAGATCAAACTCATGACCTCAGCTACAGTATTGTTTTTTGTATGTGTTTTTTTTATTAACTGGGTGATGCCATACACCGAGCAGTGAGAAACAGTGTAGATTTGCACAGCAGTAAACTTTACTGTAGACAGCCCCAAATTCCTCACAAACTTCAAGCGAGACACCTTGTTGTTGAATAGCTGGAAATTCGTATGCGTCCTGCTGTTAGATTGTGGCGTTGATGTATTCTTTCTTTAAAAGATGGAGCATGTCATTGAGAGTTTTGCCCAAATCTCTGAACATGGCTTACAAAGAATGGACTTGAAACAGAATTTCAGTGAAGTTTTAAAGAATAAATGAAGGAATTGGGTTTGATGCTAGAGGGGGAAAAACTAAAGGAAAGGATTGGCTATATCCCCAAGTCATAAGAATTTCCCTTTTCTCTGTTACCAGCATTCATATTCATGAAGAAACATGAATTCATTTTTTTTTCCTAAGATGCAGCTGATTTAAAAGCATGAGTGGAATCATCACCTTTAGTCCCCTGAAATGCATTCTCAAATACAAGAGGAAACACAGTTGAGGAGCTGAAGTTTCACAAAATCTTCATTTGTGATACAACCTCAAAGTTCTCCACCCCTAGAACAATTATTATCCCTTTGTAGCTCCCAACTCATCTCAGTGATTATAAGGTCCTGCATGGGTGAAACATGCGGTTATTTTGTGTGCTTAGTGTTTTTATACATATTTGCTTTATATTTTCACCAAGTATGTTTTGAATTATGATCACTTTTTTTCTGATTACATTTGTGTACATCAGTGTGTGAGAATCTTCTATATCAGCTGTGGAGTTTTGTGCTCCACATGAAACAGAAATGCACCATGACAAACTGCATGTAAGTGATGGTGTACCTAGTGAAATAAATTGATTGCACTTCTGATCCTCAACCCTGAGAACAGTGTAGCAGTGGGCCTATCAGGCCTATTCACCTGATAATTGGTGAATCAAGTCCTTCTTACCCATGTTAACTCTTGTAACCCTGTAGGCCTCACAGTGCTAGCTGCTAATGGTTTAGGCATCATTTATGGAGTGTCTGACAATTCTGCCTGGTATGACCTTGTGACTGCAGCATAAATGGCGTATAAATAACATCATTTAACTGGTGATAGGCCTCACAGTGACATTTTAGGGGTTTTGCTGGTTTTCAGCAGACCTGAGATTACACAATACGCCAGATATGATGTGATGCAATCCTCCGTGCATGTGCCTGGAGTCTGAAGTAATATAATGACACTTAGCAGGTATGTCAGGTTTTCAATGAGTAATGAACTATATTCTCTTTCTCTAATCATTCTCTTTGAAGAATCCAGGAGAGACTGGGCTTTTTGCCTTCTAGCCCTTAAAAAGCAGAACAAACATGAACAAACACGGCTGTCCTCAACTCCAGATGTTCTCTTGGATGTACTACTTTGGCTTGTAAAATAAGACCTTGGTCCCCCCAAAGTGTGTTGTAATTTTTATTAAACCGGGTAATGAAAATTGCTTAATGCTTTGACAGTAGATGTTGCATAGCAATGTGGCATAAAACAGCTGGTAGCTCAGACTGTTGCCCAGTGTTTCACTAAATGTTTCCTGTTACAAATGCAATTGCTGTGCAGTCAATCTGTAGCCAGTGTTAATGGTTTTAGGTCACACAATCAGGTTATTAACCTTATTAGACTTACAGGTATGTCTTAAAATCGAAGGTATTCTGGGCATCTGCTTGCTCATTTTTAGCATTATTTCCAGGTTTTGAGTGGTAAAACTCCAGGATTTCCCTTCATTATGTGTTATCTGTTATGGGGTGTGCAGAAGTGGTTTAGAGCTGAATAAGTCATTACCTACAAAATTACGATATCCCTCAATTTACACTTAATCACTAATAAAGTATCAATAAGGGCTTTGAAATGAAACCCATGTGCCAGTATGTTCTAATTCATGGTAACTATCAGTGTGTCATCTTGGTTTGTGGCATGTCTTCACAATTCAATATGGCCCTCAGTTTGAAACATTTAGTTGTTTGAAAAGGGACCAAGATAACACGACTTTAATTTGGATATTGAATATCTAGTCATGATGGCACAAATTGATTATTGATGACTGCTGAAATATATTTTTGGTCAAACAAAGGTTCTGGTAAGGATGAATTATTTATTTATTTTTAAAAAGATTGTTTCATACCGAAGATACAGGGAGTCCAAATTACACCCCCTTTCTAATTAACTTTATTAATTAAGACTAATAAGTTTGTCATGATATGCTCCCCTATCACTTTGACATGAGGGCTACCTTGCTTCTGTGCATTCCTTTGTGGTTCTGCAGTACAGAGGTTCTCACAGTCAACCGAGACATATTGACTGCTGGTTTTGGTAAGAATTACACATGTTTATAGAAGGGCAGGGTTCAGATTTGAGATGGACAGTTGTGCTGCGATTAGCTAAGCATTTTCTGTTTTAATCTGTCATTTTAACAAGTCTAAGATGGCTTCGATGGTTTGGCACTCGGCCCTGAAAGGCAGAGTAAACAAAGCCGTGCTGCACTCCAGATGTTTCCTTGGATGTGTTGCTAAAGTTTGTAATGTAAGACCTTGATTTTTCTGGTTTAGTTTTTATTGCAAATTAAACCAGGTTATGGGAAACGTTCAAGGCATGTTCTAAACTGGCGATGTGATATTGGATGGAGTATTGAAATGTTAAAATATGTGGTTCTGAGTTTCTTCCACTTTGGCTATTTTTTGTGGCATTTCAAGCTTGATTTAATTCTTTCCTTTGCATGATTTTGACATTGCAAAAAGCTGTTGTTTTGTGTTATTACATTGCTGTGAGATTGATGTTTATGTAATTGTGAAGTGTGTATATTTATGTAAAGCTTGGATGTTGAAAACAAAAGACAACTTTACAAATATAAGAAATTTGGCAAAACTGTTAGATACCTGTTGAAGCTGTTTCAGTTTAATTCTGAGATTCAGTCATTGTAACTGAAAGACTTAAGTCAATAGTAATTTCTTTGTCTAAATGGGGAAGTTACTGATTATACTACTTAAGCAAGTAGCCTGCAACAATGCATTGACTAAACTATACCTGTATTTATCAGGCAGAGATGTGTCATCTTGAGCCACCATATTGAAAGCTATTGCTTCTGATGTGCTGGGTGCATTATGAGTAGAGATGCACTAATTGTGTTGGCCAGCTGTCGGTATCGGCCGGTACAGCAACAATCAGCCATTGGCCGATGGTTAAAAATCAGCCGATATTTACGACCGATAATTCCCTTTAATCCCATTATTGTTTTGCACACCCTCACACTAAAATTTGGAAAATCTGTATTGTGTGGAATTATTTTAATGTTAGCGAATACAACACTAGAATTGCATTTTGCAAATATTGCTCTACCAAAATTTCATGAGGACGTTCTACTAATAAACATTTCAATGCAACAAATTTGATTGTTCACCTTAAGCAAACACTGTGGAGAGTGTGAATTTCTGAAAAACAAATCCATTCCAATAAAGAAGGCTACAATACTGCCAAATAATGCGAGTCCGACAGTAATGCAAGCATTTGATAGCAAAAGAAAATTCTGTGCAGACAGTGCAAAATCAAAAGATATTACTTGGGGGAAAAAAATGGAGTTTATCACACTTGATGATTAGCCCTTCTCTGTTATTAATGTTGTATAAAATGTATACAGTTATAAACAGGGATGCAAATAGCTGGTACGCAAGAATGCATTCACCTTACGATAGTTATTTTATGTGCATTTGCGCTGATATGGCAAGAAATTACAGTGCATTTGAACCTTTATATGCTAATTTGTACTTTGTGGTGTGAAGGTTAAAATGCACGCTAATTTCTAGTCATAGCAGTGCAAATGCTCGTAAAATACATTTGCATTTCTGCTGTTACAACAATTGGTTGGTAGGTGAATGCGTACTTATTTACTTTTTTACCACTTTTTATTTTCTTTCGTAAACTGCACTTTTTATATTCTTAAGCACTGGAAAGTTGTAAACTACAAATGAAAATATCTGTCAAATGTTTCCTTTATAACATGGAAAGAGTATGCAAAAGTGCATGTATGACATCCTATTAACTGGTTGAGTGGTGATGGCATAGTCAAATTCTAGGTTGTCGTTTAACTTTAAATGCACTAATTAAAACGGTTTCATCCAGAAACAGCAGTATTTAATGTCTCTTGTAGAAAGAATGCCTTGAATTTTCTCAACTGTTGTAACTACTAGAGGAGGTTGCTTTGATGAATCAAAGATAAGACATTTTCTTCCTAATTAAGGTACTCAAGGTGAACATATTGTAAATGTATTTGTTAGCAAAGAATATTCAGTGTATTTTTAGCAAATGTTAAGCGAATAACATGCAAATATAGAAAATTTCAATGTGTGCAACAGCTTTTGACTGGTAGTGTATGTGCATCTCGCGTTATGAAATACAATGCTCTGGGACTGTTGTATGCCAGTTGTCTTATCAGAAAAAAAAATACTTTGTCATATTTTGGAATTTATTTGTTTAATTTATTTGGGTGCAGTATCTCTTTAAACCTATTTAAGCAGAACCTCCCAAACAATTGGTATTGATTTTGAAATAATTGGCCATCGGCCAGAAATTTCCTTATCCGTGCACCACTAATTATGATTGACATTTTAGTATCAACATGAAACTCATTGGGAACACATCATATGCAGAAAAGGTTTAAAAATAGTAATGTAATTGCTTCTTATTGTTTAAGCCTTCATCACCAGTGTGTCTCCAGATCTCTTTGCCGTCCTGGCTAAGGATTTTGGTGGTACGGGGCCTCTCCACCGTCTGTTATAGGTCTTTGTGCAAAATCAGGATGTTGAGGGACCTAAGGGTGATGACTCGGCATCAGTTTTGGTTTTTCATTTTATTTCTTGTCCTTCAGGTGTGGGCCAGCAGCTTCCTGCCCAACGAGCCAGACCTTGCAGATGGCCACCAGAGGGCGCATTGGAAAACCCATGGGGAGGTCATGCTGGTGGAGTATGCAAGGCAGGAGGCTGTGAGAAAGGTGGGTCATCTCAACTGGGACCTTTTGTAGTTCCTTGCCACATTCATGTCGCTTTCCTATTGCACAACAGTATCTGTGACCTTTCTGCTAAATAAGCATGGGAGACGCAAAAAGACGCTCAGAGATGAAATTTGACATGTAATTTCACATGAATCCTTACTGCCACTCTAAAACAATGGAGGATGAATAAGTTGTTTCATTAGTTATCTGTCAGTTATTGGGGGGATCAATTGCACAGTCTGAAAATACAGGGGAAACTGCATCCTGTACTGGTTCAAAATGAGGCACAGCATTTTATTTATATGGCTTGTGCTGTGTTTATAATCCATTATTAAATCTAGCCAGCAGATTAAAATAATAATAAAAAAAATCATAACATTATTCGATTGATTGGCACTGATTAGCTTGGCCGCTGGCACCGATATGTATTAGACACAAATATAAAGTTATTGATGAATTTTTCCGAAGCAGAAATATGGGGAAATTAGCAAAAAAATGTATTAATTAAGCTTATAGTATAGTAATTATATTGAAAATATAATTGAGATACCATTAATAATTCCAACTGCTGAATTTTAGCTCTACGGCTTCTATCTCTGTTCCGCTCACTTCTGTGTAACTTCCAAGTTAGCGCTGGTACTTGTGGGCAACCAAACAGTAGTTTATTGCTGTATGCCCCATCCAGTAGTTCCTACCAGAGAGAAAAGTACCTACTCTGGAGTAGAGACTAAAAAAAAAAAGGTTAGACTCTGGAACTACCTCCTGAGGAACTACAACTGGGTTGACTTTCAGCTGTGGGAACGTGACAGAAAGTCCTAGTTCTTGAAAAAAGTTTTTGCAGTAGGAAAGTGCCTTTAGACACAAAATGATCCTAGTCTGATAGACCATTTGAAATGGAAGCTTACCCAGTTTATTTGATCAGCATGACTTAACATTTGGGGTTTACTGTCAAAACAAATGGGCGGTTAGGCTTTCAGTGCCTTGCTGGTTCTTGATCCTTTTTTCTACCCCATCTATTAAGCTCTCACATGTTTCTTTTGGTTTTTCTGCTATCCACGTTTTGCACAACACTGGCCAGGTTCACCCACAGTCATGGTTGTAAAGCACTCATTCTGACACTAAAGTGAAAGCCGGCTTGGAACTTTCTCTACCTCACCCTGATGCCTCTTGGTGTGCTAAAGCTTTGATAGTGATACAACAAATGGAAGGGGTCAGGCTGTCTTCCTGACATTTCCCGGTCATTGTCATATTGAAAATGAGCTGCTGCTAGTTGCATTGGTTTGGTGTTGGTTGCCTTTTCCCCCATTTGAAAAGTTTTTTTTTTCTATATGTTCTTAGATGATTCTCTGAAGTGACTCTAACATCTGTGCAAATTGCACATTCAGAACCCTGTATCCCAAATATTTCCGAGATGATGAATTGTGGGGGCATCCAGGTGTTCAGTTTTCTCTGTCTGTACAGACAAAGCATGTCTTACTCTGTTCTCTTGAGGATTCCCGAACAATAAGCTCACCATGGCAAAAGCAGCATCAGGCCAGATTATGGACCTGACGTCAGTTAGATCCTGCATTCCCCATTACTGTCACTCTGCCGGACCTGCACTTCTGCATCTTACCTACCCACGCCTCAAGGACATATCTTAGTGTTACTGACTCTCTCTATGCACCTGTGTAGTTCATTAAGGGCGTTTTGTCACTGCACCAGGTATAAAAATAGCTGGATGAAACAAACGCCATATTTCTATCACAATTTCTACAGAAACTGGGCGACATGGTGGTGCAGTGGTTAGCACTGTTGCCTCACACCTCTGGGACCCGGGTTCGAGTCTCCGTCTGGGTTGCATGTGTGTGGAGTTTGCATGTTCTCCCCGTGTCGTCGTGGGGTTTCTTCCGGGTACTCCGGTTTCCCCCCACAGTCCAAAGACATGCTGAGGCTAATTGGAGTTACTAAATTGCCCTTAGGTGTACATGTGTGAGTGAATGGGGTGCGAGTGTGCCCTGTGATGGGCTGGCCCCCTGTCCAGGGTTGTTCCCTGCCTCTTGTCCGTTGCTTCCGGGATAGGCTCCGGACCCCCCGCGACCCCATTGGATAAAGCGGGTTGGAAAATGAATGAATTTCTACAGATCAGTTAGGCTGTGTGGATGTGGCAGGGACACGTTCCAACTGCCCTATTTGTACCTCGCACATCTGCGCATGTGCAACATTACATTTCACGGCATATTTTACAATTAGGCCTTTCACAGTTATTTCATAATTGCCTGATCACGATTATTTGAACTGACCGTAATTATTTTTAATCGTTAGAACCATCTCCATCTGTATGAAAATAGCTGAATGAGACAGAACCGGCATATTTCTATCACTATTTCCACATAGTTTTCTACCATATAATGGTTTAATGACATCATCTTGTTGCGCTTCTGAACCAATGCATACCACCTGCTCTGTTTGCACCTTGCCCATCTGCACATGCGCAGCATTATACTTAATGGCAAATTTGAGTATTTCTTTTCACTACTTCAGGTTCATTTTATGGGCTGCTTGTGAGTGATCTCCACCAGCCCAGCCCTATGTCCACCAGACCAGAATAACAGCTAGATATTCTGATTTTTGGTTCTTTGTATTATGTTTAATATAACTTCTGTGTAGCACCTGCACTTATCTGTGTGTGTTTATGCGTCTCGTTATGGTGGGATGACTGTATATGTCCTTGATGGCTGCCACTGTTTTGCTGTTAGTCAGTATATTATGCCAGCAGGACAAAGAACTAGAGAAATGTATGCTATTTTGTCCATTTATCTTGCATCCCACTGTTTTGGAGTGAGATAAACGTGCTTATAACTGGTACGCAAGTACCCTTTTGCCGTAAAACAATACATGCAGCAATATCTTGCTGTAGCAACTCAAATGTGTACATATTTTATGTGTATTTGCGCTGTTATGACAAGAAATTACCATGCATTTTAACTTTCCTGTAGCTTCTTTGTACTACTTTTGCGGTATAAAGGCTAAAATGCACAGTGATTTTTATGCGATAACAGCGCAGATGCACGTAAATACGTATTTGCATATAAGGCGAATGCGTACTTGGTTATGCGCATCCCTGTATATAAATATGGCTGATACAAACACAAAATATGCCAAACTTCACCTTTCAGCTTAGAGTGAACCAAAGCTATAATACCATGTCTTTGGATAGCAGCAATTTCAACTGATGGAAATGTTACTTTACATTTCAGGTATGGGATATTTAGGTAATAGTGCTGATCCAAAAACTGGAAATAGATGACGGGAGTGAACACACGGCAGGTAAAATCGGGCAGGTGGTAGAGATGGCGGAAACACCAGCTATTTATCTTGAAGCGTTTAACCTATTTGGTAATGTCATATCAGGCCTATACAACTTAAAAGGCAAATGCGATTTTTATTTATGTTTTTCAATATTCAGTTCTTTGTACGGTATATATGTAATATTAAACTATGATTAGGCTACCTCTAGGCTGGTATTGTTTTAAAAAGAACAGAAAATGACATCATTAATCGCAGTTATGACAATTAATCGTCAACTAAAATTTCCTGATCGCGACAGGCCTATTTACTATGGTGTCTGATTTGTACCACTTCGATTCAGAACATTTGATTTAATTTCAAGACCTCAGTATCATTTTACAGAGTGTTTGTGAGTGATCACCACCAGCCCAGAATGGGATATTCAGGCAGATATTCTGATTTTGGATTCTTTGTCCTCTGTCTCTAAAGGTTTTGCATAGCACCTGCACTTGTGTTTGAGTGCATATTTAGGGGTCTTGTTAGTACCCTAGTCATGAGGGGGGTTACTTCATATGCCCCTGACGGCTGCCACTATTTATGCTGCAGCAAAAGTCACTAGATTATGCTAATAAGACAAACAACTAGACAAATGTATGAAGTTTTAGATTGGTACTGGTAGGTTAGCTAATTAGGTAACTTTCATTTCAGCCAGGTACGTCTAAATTATAGTAATATTACAACACAATACGATAACAGAATAAGATAAAATGGAATAAAATGAAATTAAATATTGAATAGGATACTGCAATAGACAAGGTGCAAAAATGCAATTAGGGTATGCAAGGAATCTGAGTTGCAAGGTAAAGCTAATAGATGTAACTAGTCCAGTTTAATCACCACAGGTCTATCATGGGCAGTTGAATTATACAGTCTAATGTCACTGGGTAGGAATGATTTCCTGTATCGTTCCTTAATGCAGCGTGGTTGAGTCGATGTTGAATTATTCTTTAGATTCTCAAGTGTTTTATGGAGGGAGTGAGAGGCATAGTTCATAATTGCTAGCAGTTACAGCAGTACAGACGCTCGTCTACTTACGAACGAGATACATTCCGAACAGCCGTATTGAAATGTTCGTAAGTCGTTATTCAATATCATTTTAAGGGTATATGCAAGTACTAAGAACTAGGATGCTGGGAGCACGCATGCTACGCTGCTGCGCGGCGGGAGTAGCGGCCAGAAATCATACTAGGAAGAATTGGCGTGCAGGAAAAAAAAAAAAACAAGGTTGCGGACAGGAAACGGGAGCCCAACGAACACAATTTGGGCTTACAGTCCTCTTTGTTCGTTTGTCTGAAAGTTTGTAAGTGGAAGAGCGTCTGTATTCTGTCCCTGTCCACGACCTCCTGACTGACAAGCTTGGAGCCCATAACAGACTCGGCCTTCCTAATGACTGGCTGGCTTCCTTTGTTTTGATGCCTGCTCCCCAACACACCAAAGCAGAGAAGATTGTGCTTGGAACAACAAACTAATAAAACATCAGGAGCATCCTTTTAGATACACTGAAGGATCTGAGCCTCCTCAAGGAAAAAGAGCTGATTCAGGCCCTTGTTGCCAGCATCTGTGTTGGTGGACAACTCCAGGTTATTGTCCAGTTGGAGGACCAGGTACTTGTATGATGTCACAATTTCCACATCTGTCCCACCTAGCAGAGCGGGGACTTATTCTTGCTG